TGCAGTTAAACATAATAAAAATTGCCAGAAAATCTGAATTTAAAACGTTCCCACTCGGAACTAAGTCAAAAAATTATATTCTTGTATGCTACATCCAAGTCATTAGCAAATTGGAGAAAATGTAAAAGATTTTCTGATTTCTTTAATTATTCAAATTTTCCTTAAAGGAAACATTCTCTGAAATAAGTTCATGAATAAAAATTATATTAGTGATTAACATAGGGGATTATAACATTTTTGAGCCTGTTAATAATATATTTATAAGGCAGTGACCTGGAATACAAGGGCCCAATTAATTTTAGCCACGCAATGTAAAATAGAGATATAACTTCCGAGTGAATTCATATTCGAAATACCTAAAGGTAGGGTGCCAATAACAAAATGACAAAGTTTTAACCATACATCTTAATTTTTGTACAATTTCCTTGACCGTATAATGAGGTGGAATTTGAATAATATTAGAGTTTACAATTAAGTAAGGGCCACTAAAAATATGGATTTTTTTTTTAATGACTCAATTAAAGTCTCTTAATATAAGTCATTTTCATTAAATCAAAATCATAATAGCAGCACTCACAAATCTTCTGTTTTTAATCTTTCATTTGATAAACTCTTTGTATAATTTCAGGAATAATAAAAACTGTAACAAAATTTTTATACTGTTATAACTTAAAAACTGAAGTTTATATAGGATTTAAAAATACAAAAAAAAAAAAAAGTAATTATTGTGTGAATAATTACTTTGAGAATTAAAGTTTTTGTTACTTTTAAAACTTTTATACATGGCAGGACAAAAAAAAAAATTAAAGAATTTGTGATCTTTATTCCTCAGTTTTTATGTATTTTTTTTTCTGTTCTGTTCATACATTTTAGTTAATTATCCTAAAAGAAGAAATTATAACGCTGATGTTGAAATTTTATGAGTTTTGAAGCTATTTAACGAAACGTGATGTGAAAAAAAAAAAACCATTACGCTTCAAAAAATAATTCCTTTCCGCTTGAGTTATGAGATTTATGCGTTTTATGGGAAAATTATTGTTGAATTCTGTTGAAAACTATAATTATTGTATGAAGTAGTAGATCTTCGATGTCATTCATAAAGTAAAGTTTTTCTTTTTAAAGTGAGATTTAAGAAAATTTAAATTGGACATTTTCTGTCTTTGGGTCGTGTTTAAATTCACAAGGATTTTTTTTTTAATTTTTTTCATATATATGAAAGTAATTGATTGAATTTTGTGAATTTAAGGCATTCAAAAAGTGTAATGCGATTGTGGATGAGGTTGTAAAGTGAACAGTGTAAAGTGATCGCCTAATGGTTAAAATTAAAGCTTAAGTAGCGGGGTAAAATTCAGTAAAGAGAATTTTGGAAGTTTTAAAAATATTCATGAGAAATTGTCGACACAAAAAACGTATAAAAATAATAGATGTGGAAAATTGGAATTTGCCTAAAGATCGAATACTTGTATTTCCGAAAAAATATATTAAATTAAATAACGACCTCTTCTTTATTTAAAATTCTCTTAAAGCTCTTTCAAAAACTATATGTTTGAAACTTCTATTTTTTTTGGAACGGAAGCTATAGGCAGAAAAACTTAAGTATGTTAAAATTTCGCCAAATTTTCCTAAAACGGAAACACTTTTGATTTAACACTATGTTTCGGACAAAAATTTTACTCATTTTCAACCTTCTGATGCCCGGTGGTATACGGCCCCTAACTTGTGAAATAAATTTTAAGATGCCAGGCCGTATTTTTTAGAATAGAAAATCCGCATTTTGCAGTGATAAAATTATGTTGTGAGTTGAAAGATCAAGACATCTACTTAGAAACTCGAATTCAACAAATTTTTACATAAATAACTAATATTTCAATTGTCCTAGAAAATTGCACAGTCTTGTTTATTGCTATTTTATTGAAATTCCTAAAATGCTAATAAATCCATCTCAGATATTTACTTATACACGTTCCGAGATTAAAATTTTCACTTAATTTTTATAATATTAAGGAACTATTGTATTCAAAACAAAAGAAACCCAATTTAATTTAAAGAAAATTGTTGAAATACAAAGACCACAACTTCTCTATACATAAAAAAAACATTCCGTTCATTGATCTCCTTTTCAATTTAATTTTAAACTCTTCTATATTCTTCTACCTTAATCCCAAAAATAAATCCAAATTTCAAATTAAAATAAAATATTTTTTTTTTCCTTTATATTGTTATACCATACGTTGAATTTTATAAAATCATTTTCAATTTAAATATTTGTTATATAAAAGACACAATATTGCAGATCTGTATTGTATGTTATTGTGTTGAGAAGACAAGTTTTCTTTTAACAAACTTTATGTCTGAAATTATATGCCTGCATCTATATTATGTTAAATTGACTTAAGGATATGTCACACAAGATGTCATTATTTTCTAATACAAATTATTCACTATATATAAATGAAAACTATATATTTACATATGTATAACAGATATAGTGTTTTGCTCATTTTAAAATGAATATTATTATTATAACAATTAAAATGAATGAAATTCATATTAATAATGTTAACACAAAAGTACCTACACTTAATATAATTATATTATACAAATTATTATAATTCTGTATAATAAAAGAGTGATTTGTTCTTTAATCTAAATCTATATAACTTATATACAAGTTTTAGATTTATACAAGTTTTCGATTTAAAATTTACTAAAATCTTTTTGTTAAAAAATTTGAATTGCATAAAATTTGTCTGTCTTTATATGAGTATAGTTATTGTTATATTTTTGCTATTGTTATATTTCCTAAAATATTCAAAAATTTTACAAGGATAAAAATATTTCTCTTTCAATAAAACTACAATATTTAATAACTACTAACATTGTATTATTGTGTTTTGTATATCTAGAGAATGATCTCTCAAAGTATGGTTTTACATAAAAGTTTTAAAGTGTAAAGGAAGTTGTACATATTGCTCGCAATTTCTTATGTAACAAATTATATAGAGAATTTAAAGGGAAAATTTTAGGATTCAATTTTATAATTTTGCTCTGCTTTTTTAAAAAAATATGGTGGTAAATATTTTGTAGACGGGTGTTGGTTTGATTGTCTCTTGTTCATTTTTGTATCAGCTTGGTGAATTAACTTGGAAATTTCATGTTATTCGTTTTATAATAATATAGTATACTTAAATGATATAGCCGTTTTGAGTGAGAATAAATTTGTGATTCAAAAGAGAATTATGTTACGGGGCGGGGGGGGGGGGGGGGGGGGGGAAGACGGGAATAATTCTATTGTATAACGTGGCTCTCTAATTTGATTCCGAAAGTAAACTGAAAATAATTTTGACAATTAACAATGATTTAATTGAAAAAAATATGTTCGTAAAATTTGTACCAGATATAAATTTGAACTTTTTTAAATTTCACATGTTGTTCCTGGTGAAAACGCAACCTACTTTACTAGCACTACTTTAGAATCTGAAACTGTATATAATAAGTGCTAGTTTCCAAGATAAATAGATGCTTTCTTTTATTTATTTTCAGAAAAATTGCAATACTATTTAGATACATAGGTGAAACTTCAGTTTTCTTCCATTTTCCTACTTTCAGAATTGTGTTAATCAGAACTCATTTACAATAGGGTAAAGACATACCACATCTTGCATTATGATGACATTTTCTATAACTTCAATATAATTTTTTTTATGACAACTCGTGACAAATGCAAATTACAAATAAATGAAGCAACTAATTTGACAGATAAAATAATTTGACAGAATAATTCTCATTCATAATTTCAAATTTCTTTGAAAAAATTTTTTTTTTTATCAAGAGTTTCGCAAGATGGATGATTGTAAGATGGGCTATATTCAAAATAAATCATATGTCTGTAAGAGGAGCTGCTGTAAACATGAGTGAAGGGTGTACTGTAGCATAGAAATATAAAGAAAACATAATATTATATCTGAAAATTGAGATAAAAATCTAACAATAACATTGTAAATTGCATTGCACTCAAGGCGTAGCTTTGAACTTGATAAAAGCAAAATTTCTATAGTAATGTATAAGATATATGAGCCTATTCTATAGAAAATTATTACACACCTACACTTTATTGTATTTATTTTGTACTGGAAAATTATATAGAAAGAAAATTGTAAATTTTAAGATTTTATATTGAAGATTATTTGAAAAATAATGAATTATAAAATTTTAAAAGCATTCAAAATGAATACACAATAAATAAATAAAATAATCTTCTTTAACACAATAAAAAAAATTAAAAACAAAATTGATTGAAAATATTCTAAAGCACACCTGGATTAAAAGTGTAAGTGTATTTTTAAATTTAGGTATTTGTGAGTGTGTTGTAACATCGTATGCTCATATAGGTACAATTATTATTCTTCTGTATGCCTAGATTTATGCAATATAATTTAAGAATATTCTTATGAATTCTTGTAATGTGGTTGTGTTTACTATGCTATTAAAAACCCAAAAAATAAAAAATTTGTAAAACCAGAATAACATTTTCATGAATGAAAAATTCTGACCAAAAAAAATTTAAAATGAAAAATTGGGGAAAAAAAATCAAAAAAATAAAAATATGAAAAAAATTTAGAATTTCCTTTTTACAAAAATTTTCTAAATCACATCGTCAATAATAAAACAAACTTCAATATTTTAGTTATTTTGAATTAGAATTTGAAATTATATGACATATGACAATTTTGACGTTTTGTTTATAATGCCTAGTAGCAAACACGACCTTCGGTTATCATAACTTAAATCGTCATTAGCTTATTTCTCAACATAGTCCCCTTTTAGGTCGATACACTTTTGCCAGCGGTGTTGAATTGCTTCGATACCATTTTTATAGTAAGAACTGGGAAACTCTGCAAAATAGCAATAAACGCCAGACTCTAACTCTTCATTTGTAAAAAATCTTCTTCCACCAAGCCATTTTTTCAAGTTTGGAAATAGAAAGTAATCTGAGGGGGCTAAATCTGGTGAAATGTTTGAATTGGTGCATTGTCTTGATGAAACAACACTTTTTTCTTCGACAAATGTGGACGTTTTACTTTGATTTCTTCACTCAAACGCTGCAATAAATTTGCATAATACTCGCCGTTGATTGTTTTTCCCTTCTGAAGATAATCAACAAAACTTATGTCACGCGCATCCCAAGAAACGGATGCCATAACTTTTCCAGCCGATAAAGTTGTTTTTGCCTTCTTCGGAGCCGCTTCTCCCCTACTGGTCCATTGTTTCGACTGCTCTTTTGTTTCAGGAGTGTAATGATGAACCCATGTTTCATCAATTGTTATAAATCGACGCAAAAATTCGGTCTTATTTTTAGTAAACATGGCCAAACAGTTCATTGAAACATCCTCACGATGTTGTTTGTGGTCGATTGTGAGTAAACGCGGCACCCATCTTGCGCAAAGCTTTTTCATGTCCAAATTTTCGGTCAATATCCGATGTACAGCACTTTTTGATAACCCTACTATATCAGCTAATTCACGTACTTTCAATTGACGGTCGTTTAGTATAATTTTGTGGATTTTTTAACCGTTTCTGGCGTGGTGACCTCATTTGGTCGACCAGTGCGATGTTCATCTTCACAGCTCGTACGGCCACGTTTAAACTGCGCTACCCAATTTTTAATCATTGCATATTAAAAATTTACTGAAAGGCTTGACTATTAATAGTCGGTAATCTGAAAAGAAAAACAAAAAATAAAAGTGTGGCAGTTAATCCTTAAAATAATAGGACTTTCTGCCAGGCTTATTTTTTTTTCAAAATTTTTGTGTTTTCTTGGTTAGGCTACTTAATTCTAGGACAGCTCTCGTAATATATTTTATATACTTTATTTTATTGAAAATGTGAAAAGAATTCATCCCTATAGTAATCAGTGTCAACCATTGTACAAGTATATTTGAATCATCGTATGTCTTTTTATTCTGTATATGTGTTGGTTCACAAGATTTACATATAATAAGAACATTAGATAGGGTAACCGTTTGGGAGTTTAAGGATTTTTCTAATGCTATTACAAAATTTTCAAAATTAAAATTATTGAAAAAAATTGTAAATATATTTGTACTTGAACCTATAATTATTCGGAATAAATTGTTATAGGTATATAAAATTGAAAGTGAATATTGAAATTTATGCATGATTTTTTTAAATTACATAATCCTTACTTGTATATGGTTAGAGTTTTTAGTGTATTATTGAAAAAATTCATTCATTGTTATACAAGTATAAAAGTTTTATTTTATTACTGACACATAACTTTATACAAATGTAGTTGTATACAAATTCATATACGAGAGAAATTTTGAGTACTTCTTTCTGGAATTTGTAATTTATTTTTTAGAAAATTTTTTAGCATATTTGGTACTTCAAATTATTTTTTCAATTTTTAGAATAAGAAGTTTAATAATTAAGAAAAAAATTAAAAAAAAATCAGATTTTGCACTTAATCTTGTACAATACTAGCCGATTACTGAGAGTTTCAAAAGGGGTTATTCTACTCTTTCTAATGACTATTAACCGATCTTTACTATTCCTGTTTTCGCAAAAATTTTTGAGAAAATTAGGAAGACTAAATTTCTACCTGTCTAAATAGGCATTAATTTTTTTTAGCGATTTTCAGTTTGGTAGGTCAACTGAGGGTGTTTTGTTTAAGTTTTTGTCTAAAGCTAATAGGGATAATTATCTCTACATTGCTCGGTTTTATTTATTAACATAAGTAAAGCTTTCGATCATGGTATTCTATTATACAAAATTCGTCAAGCTAGCTTTCAGGGATTTTTGTTCTTGGTTAGTTCAAGTTCAATTTGTCTGATTGTTGGCAAAGAGTAAAAATTGCTGAATACCTAAGATTGTGATTTTTAAATTGTGATGTTCCTGTATCATTTCTATTCCTGTATCATAAATATTTTAATATGAAATTGGTTGTTGAGGGGACTTTTATTTTAATGTTCCGAAGCCCCTTTTTAAGAATGGAAAGAAAAGCTTGTAATACTCCAAATTTTGAAATGTTTTAAGAAAGTCGTATTATTCCATTGGGAATTGCTTGTACAGTTTTAAGTCTATAAAGTTTTTTTTTTCTTAATATGTGATTATCTAAATGCTACATATTCTGAAGCGTATAATTTGAGGAGTAAATCTAGTCATCTTGTTACTAGAATTACTATTATCTTTTGATATTTGAATTTTATTTTAGGGGTTGATGTTTTTATTTCCACCTGTATAATTTGCTTTTGAACTCCTTTTAATGATTCGCAACAAAATCTTAAAATTTCTTCATGTTCGCAATCCTTTTATGCAATGTAAAATTATGAAAACATTCCAATAATTAAATCATAACAGTATAACAGATTATTTTAAATAGTTTCCTCTTTATTAATTCTAAAATATCCAAATATACTTTCAAGCTAAAAAAAAAACAAAACTAGAAAATTTAATTAGGTCAGTGTTTCAGTAAGGCTTAGCATTTACCTTTCGTCTTTGTTTCACCGATTCAAATCTTAAGAATCATTCTCATTAACTGATAGAAATAAAGTTATACACCATAGCTTTGTTTTTTTTAATTAAAATTTTGAATAAATAAAATTTTATTTAATTAAAGACAAAACGAGAAAAAAAAAAATAAATTTTTATCAGATTTGAACTTTTTCAACTCAAATAACAATACTAAGGTTCTTCTCTTCTTTTTTTCGAATTTATATTAAATATTTAGAAATTACCAGATCTAGAGTGATAAAACTAAAGAATTCTTATAGGTATATTCAACTGTAGGTCTAGGTGTATATCTTTTTGAATGAATTTTTTTAAAATAAAATTTTTCCATTTTAATTTTAGATAAAAAAAGAAAAAAGGAATTTTTCTAACAAAATTTGGGAGAAAAAAACAAAAACTTTCTTTGTATTTCTAGAGAAAACATGCGACTCAAACCCATTTTTATATTCATTTGATCACAATATATGTACGTTACCTATAAACCCTACCTTTCTTTGAAGAAAAATATTTGCTTAAGGTTTCCATTTTTTGTTTTTTTCTTATTTTTTTTTTATATCCTTTTCTTGTACAGAATTTCCTTTACAAAAATTGTTTAGAACAGAAACAAAATTTCAATTTTAACTTTTTAAATTTTTGTTTTTTTTTTGGCCAATATGAAAATATAATGTAGGTATGGGTATGTACAATTGTGGAAACTGTAGGATGAATAAATACTATGGGTACTGGAAAATTTTTGGTCATAAAAATGAATTTTCACTTCTTAATATTTTCAGGTATTTGTGTTTTTTGTTTTTCTCATAGTGTGCTTATAAGATGTAAAAGATTTTATTCTTTAAATTTAAAGAGTTGTTTAATGGAATTAAAGAGTAGGTTATTTGGATTAAGTATAGAAGTATTGGATAAATCCTGTTGAAATTTTACGAAATATGACTGTGTTTTATTAATTTTGTCTTATACTCTTTAACCTACTTTTTATGTTGTAAGTTCAGAGTAGAGCTTGACACCATTTGCTTTATTTTAAAATTTTTCGATTGAAATTAATTTTTTATTTTTAGCGCGTCTTAATTTTTATCTGTAGCGGATCCATTATTACGTTGAATTAATTTAATTTTGCAGATCTCATTCTTTAAGTCCTTGCAGCACTTGTCTATCAAACTTTTAGCATCTTTTGTGAAGAAAGCATTTAAAGTTTCGAACTTCATGTGCCCCATTCCCGTAACCATTATTAAATTGCTTGCATATGTGATGCATGGCTCATTTTGTTATTAGTTTTCGACTTATTACCTCTCAAAATTATCAAGTAACAGTAAATATATTATTCTCAAAAAATATAATTATACATTTTAAATTCCTTAAGTTGAGCATATTAATTCGATTATGGGGTTGAAGTCATTTTGAGTTCCCCTAAATGTATGCAATCAACAGATATTATTTATTATTATGAGAATTGGATAGGCAGAATACATTTGCTCTCAATTATGTACGAGAACATGGCTTAATCCAATTTACATAAAGCGGCTTAATAATCTATGGGCGTTTCTTTATAGTTACTTGTTCGTTATTTCTCGCTGCGGTGTTTGTTAGCAATAATAATAACACAATTCATTCTGACATTATTAATACGTCGTCGATTCGCTACTAAATTATTTTAAAAGCAGTTACTACTCGCTATTTCTATTCATTTACCCAAATTTAATCTAACTTTATTTTTTTAATTTTAATTTTGATTTTATTTGTATTACGGATTACAACAAAATAACCACACATAAATAAATAAAAAAATAATAAAAATAAAATTTAAAGAATCAATTTACAACCCATATTGTTTGGGATATTTTACCTTTGGGTTGTTCATCAGAAGCAACAAATATTTTAAAATATATATAGAGAAACAAAATTCATAATATCATGTGTGCTACTTTTATTCCATTTTTCAAATCCTTATACATATAATATTATTGTGTGTGTGTGTGTGTGTGCTACATTAAATTTTGCTCCTGGCTTTCTCAGATAATAATGCAATCAAGTAATGGAATCACTAGAATTGTTATTTGAACTGGAAATTGATTCCTAGCTGTATATTGGAAGTGTACAATAATGTTAAGTTGTATTTGTATGTGTATGTTTTATAATATAGACTCATGTGTGGACTTAAAAATGTAATAAAATGAACACGGTTAAAAGGGTTATGTCTTGTATTTTTTTTCCAATTTTTTTTTTCCAAAGATAAAAGTAGTATATAGTAAGTAAAAAAATACAAAGTATTCTTGTTTTTTAGCTTTGTTCAAAATTGCCTTCAGCTAAATTTTTTGAGTTATACAAATAAGAAAAAAACAAAAATGAAATTCAATTGCATTTTAAAAATTTTTTTTTTTTTTTTTTAAAGCAATTATTTTAAAAAATTAATTGAATGATGTTAGAATTAGGTTAGAGTCTGTGGTTTCTATAGGAACAGTTAAGTAATCAAAAAAAAAAAAAATCATGTAATATGTAATTTAAGTATTTAATTTTGAACGAATGTGTTTTATAACTATGGAAACTTAAGGTATTTTTCTGATTAATGCAAAGAAATTAATATTACATATGTACATATGTAATATTAATTTCTTCAATAATATTAATTTCTCACACGCAGCATTCTTTGATGTAAATAATGATTTGCGAATATGAATGTAAAAGTAGTAGAAGTGGTAGTAGCAGTTGTAGTAGTTGTATTGGTACCAGTAGTAGTAGTAGAAGTAGTAGAAATTTGTAGAATGAACTAGGCTGATTACACGACCCATTGTGAAACCTCATATTAACCATTTAACAGCCATTATGTCAAGCAACTCCTAAAGAGAAACAAGAATATCCAAACCATATACCGTCACTAATCAACTTGTTAAAGGAAATTAATAAGAATTAAAAGAAATCTCAACATAATTAT